TCGGCACACTGCCGCACGGGGTCCACGAAGCACATGCGCCGCAGCGGCACCTTCTGGCCACAGCACTTGTCACAGAAGCACTTCCCACACCGGCGGCAGTGGTGCTGCGGGGCAGGGGCGGCGGTGAGGAGGGGACCGAGGACGGGCGCCCCCCCCACCGCTGACACCGGCCCCGCCAGGGTCTTGGCCGCCAGAGGGATGGATGCGGTCGCCGCGACGGCCGCACACACGGCAGGCCACCCCCTTCCTCGGGGGGCAAGACCCACGTGTGTGGCAGCGCCTGGCACGGTCACACGGGTGTGCAAGCTGCACGCGGACCCCGGGGCCGAGTCACGGTCTGCTCTCCTCAGGCGGTCGCCAGGACAAACCGGGTGCACCGCCCCCACCCCGGAAGGGGCTCGATGCTGGCCTGGGCCCCCCGCCCGATGGCCCCAGCTCACCTTTCTGGTGAGAAAGTCAAACTTGGCATCACACTGCATACATCTCGGGCACTAGGACGGAAGACAAGCAAGTATCAGGACCCAGCTCTGAGCGCAGCTGGGACGCGGGGTGGCCTCCAACGGGCCGGAGACAGGGTGGCGGGCTCGGCCACGGCTCAGGAGGCCCACAGGCCGGGTGGCCCCCCCCCCAGCCCCATGCTGTGGGGGTCGGGGTGGGGAGGGCACCAAGGGCACAGCCTGAGCAGCCCCAAGCAAGGAATGGCTTAGATGGCTTCTCAGGGACCCTGGGGCACGCTCGGGCCAAGGGCAGGGGTCAGAGCCCGAACGGCCAGGCTGGGGCTGTCCTGGTGCTGGAAGCAAAGATCCGAGTCATACAAGGACCACGACACTGCACAGCAGGAATTCGAGCACCCCGCTGTACACATCGAGGAAAGTGAGGCAAGGCGGCTAAGTGGGGGGAGGCCCAGCCAGCAACGGCCCACACACAGGACACTGCCAGGCCCGGAAATGCTCTCGAATGCTCCTCGGAGTAAGGAACCAGAGGGAAGGGCAGCGGCCAGGCCGGGGCGCAGGCGGCTGGCCTCACGGGGATGGCACCCCAGAAGTGCAGAGACTAGGGCGCTGGGCATCGGGGGGAGGCCTCTGTCCACCAAGCGCTCTCGGAACAGACAGCCCTGCGAGTGGCCCTGCTTCAGGCACTGAGGACAAGAGACGAGTTCAGACCTCTTCACTAACACAAGCTAAGAATTGGTTCAGATTTTGCCAGAAGCACCGAAGGGCTGTCCCAGCACTGATGCAGCTCAGCTTCCCACGGTGGGAAAGCTGCTCCTGGACCCAAATGGAGCTTTAGCCCAACTCAGCAACAGGGAAACTGCCCCCCACAACCCCCCCCCCCAGGCAGGGAGGAGGGCTTCTGATCGGGACCTGGTTCAGGGGAGAGCCAGTCCTGCCTAGCTGGGCCTCCCCTCATCCCCACCGACCTTCTTCACTCTGGTCAGCTGGGGCACTGGCCAGCCCGCGCCGCCCCCAGGCTGGGTTCCGCCCATCTCCCCCCACTCTGTGCATCCCCCTCTGGGCCTCAGCCTCCCCCAAGGCGGCTCCATGAGTCGGGCAAGCGGGGAGCTGAGGAGATTCGAGTTAGGTGCCAAGTGCCCACTAGTCCAGCACCGTGCAGATGGTCCTGGAGGAGGCCCAGGCCCCCGTCCTTCCCCGCTGGAGGGCCCTTCCAGACACCACCCTGCAGCCACAGCCCTGGCACTGGGAGTGGTGTCTAAGTTTTCCGAGATCCCGTGGCTCACATTTTCTTTTTTCCTCTCTGCTCGTAAGCTGCTTTCTGGACTGGGACACAGGTCTTGGCCCACCTTGGCCTTCCAGAACCATCTATAGAGTCCCCCAGTGGCTCTGAGTGTGAGCTGGCTGCTCACTGCGCCCTTGCTGCTTCCGCACACCCCCTGCCACTGCCTCTCCCTTCTGTGAGTTCTGGAACGCCGCTTGTGTTTGGCACTCGGGCCTCTGCACTGTGGCAGGGCGCCAGGCTCTGTGTGACCCCCCCGCAATGCCAGCCACAGACGCACCAGAGAAAGCCTCCACCCAGGGCGAGGTCAGTGCACACGGGAAAGCTTGCCTGCTGCCCCGGCTCTGGCGCCTCCCGGGGCCTCTCGTGCTGCCCCTCCCGCGCCCCCTCTCCCTCTCCACCAACAAAGACGGTCTCGCGTCTCATGCCTACCGTGAGGCTGTGGTGTTTGGGCAAGTTGAAGACCAACTTTTTTTTTTTTTAATCAACATGTATTATTTGTTCCAGAGGTACAGGTCTGGGATTCATCAGTCTTGCACAATTCACAGTGCTCACCATAGCACATACCCTCCCCAACGTCCTTCACCCAGTTACCCCATCCCTCTCCCCCCCCTCCACTCCAGCAACCCTCAGTTTGTCTCCTGAGATTAAGAGTCTCTTATGGTTTATCTCACTCTCCGATTTCGTCGTTTCATTTTTCCCTCCCTTCCCCCATGATCCTCTGTCTTGTTTCTCAAATTCCACATATCCATGAGATCACATGATAATTATCTTTCTCTGATTGACTTATTTTGCTCAGCATAATACCCTCTAGTTCCATCCACGTCGTTGCAAATGGCAAGATCTCATTTTTGATGGCTGAGTAATATTCCAGTGTGTGTGTGTGTGTGTGTGTGTGTGTGTATCACATCTTCTTTATCCATTCATCTGTCGACGGATGACATCTTGGCTCTTTCCACAGTTTGGCTATTGTGGACATTGCTGCTACAAACGTTGGGGTGCGTGTGCCCCTTCGGATCACTACATGTGTATCTTTGGGGTAAATACCCAGCAGTGCAATTGCTGGGTCACATGGTAGCTCTATTTTCAACTTTTTGAGGAACCTCCATACTTTCCCAGAGTGGCCGCACCAGCTTGCATTCCCACCAACAGTGTAGGAAGGTTCCCCTTTCTCCGCATCCCCACCAACATCTGTCGTTTCCAGATTTGTTAGTTTTAGCCATTCTGACCGGTGTGAGGTGGTATCTCATTGAGGTTTTGATTTGGGTTTCCCTGATGCCGAGCGATGTTGAGCACTTTTTCGTGTGTCTGTTGGCCATTTGGATGGAAAACCGGAGCCAAAGGCAGACGCTTAACCCAGGCGCCCCAGAAGACCGACTTTTAAACATAAGACCACATCCAGAATTTAAAACGTGCTCCCTTAACAATGTAAGTGATACGGAAGTTTATCACTCTAAATAAGCAATGAGGGGATTCAGAAAACTGACAAGATTTTTAAACAAGGTAATTTGCTGATCGTGTAACAGAAAAGACACTTTTACAATTATCAACAGAGCAATTTAAAGAGAATGAAATAAAGCAACACGCAAAGAGACTAAAGTAAAAGTACGGCCAAAGAACAGATAGCCTGCCTGAGAAACTGTCCCCAGAGCAAACAAACACGACAGGCACAGCCGGGCCCCGCAGCCGTGAGACTGGAACTAGACCGAGTGACTCAAAGGCCCGGGGTCACGGACGAGGCCCCACAGCCCAGACCCCAGGTGCGGCCCGCCACCTGCACCCTATGCCTGATACTCCCCGCACACCGAGGCCATGTGGTCCCCGCCAGGGTGGGAGGGGGCTGAGGCTCCAACATGCAGGATCTTCAGGGCCAACGGAGTCAGGGCAGGCCCCCCACGAGGGACCTTGGGAGCTCCATGAGGGAGGGTCCCGCACGTGGTGCACACGGACCCATCTGCTGCCTGAGCCTCTGCACAGGCTGCTGGGCAGACAGAGGCCGCCCCCCGGGGTCCCCCGGGGACTAACTCCTTGAGAACAGGAGGCTCCAGCCTAGCCTCTCGGGGCCCCGCGCTCACTTCACGGGCCTCTCACCCGGCGGACGGGATGGAGGAAGCTGGTGGCAAGGGGTGGCCTCTGGAGGGTGCACTGGGCACCACGGAGGATGGGGCGGCTGGGGCCGGAATTTGCAGCCCTGCACACGCTCCCCTGGCCTCCGACTCCTGGCTGGTTCAGTAACCCCGCGGCGGATGCGGGAGCTGAGACCGGCCCAGGGCCACAGAACAGAAGCACCTCGGGAACTCCAGGCTCCCCCGACCCGCAGCCGAGGGAAGTCTGCCGACCGCTGCCCAACCCTCACACAAGGAGCCCCCCAAAGGTGCCCGGGGCAACTCCAGAACCAGCCCCAGCCCCAGAGGACAGCTGACAGAGGGTCTCCCCTCATGATCAAAACAGAAAATACAGAGTTTGAAGCGTTTAAAGGAAGGTCAAAAAAGGTTACTGTAAAAGAAAAGCCTGAGGAGCCCTGTGCCCCCTCCTGGGGGCTGGGGGACCCCCGCACTCCACACCCCGTGACACCCCCCCTTCCCCCGCAGCGCTGCCGACGGTGCTCCCTGGCTGGCTGGCACCAAGACCCCTCAGACCCTCATATGCCACTGTGTCTTAAGTTCCTCAGATGCAAACAGATCCTGAAAATAAAATTTAAAAGTGTTTGTATTAATATATCTTTATTGAAAGATAATCCTTTCTAGGGGCACCTGGCTGGCTCAGCGGGAAGAGCGTGCGATCTCGATCTTGGGGTCATGGATTTGAGCCCCATGCTGCGCGTAGACATTGCTTAAAAAATAAAATCTTTTAAAAAATAATAATAATCCCTTCTAAAGAGTAAAAGCATAATTCCTAAAATATAAACTGACCTGTTCAAAGATTTAACTGCTTAATTAACAAGGGAACCAATAAACTGTTAAAAACCCCGCTCAAAGGGGTGGGGGGAAGACCACGTGACGGCACCGGGAACAAGATGATGTGGCTGAAGAGGCAAAATGGCGGGTGTCACAGGAGACGAGCACGCCCCCGCGGGACAGAGCCCGTCTGTGTCCCCTACCCAGACCCCCGTCGCCATTGGTTCCTGAAAAAGACGCAGAGCCTAGGGACGGAAGTGCGCCCGGGGAAGAAGCGCTGCCACGGCCCACGCCCAGGGGCCCTCCACTGTGGCATTTCCGTGAGCCAACAGCAGAGGGGTCCTGGGGGGTGGGAGGCAGGGTGCCCCCTGGGGTCCCGGAGAGCAAGTGTGGAACCCCACCACCACCTTGACTGTGCTGGGAAAGTTTCTGCTGAGAACCCCTTGCCATGTGACTTAGATGACTCAGTTGCCCCCAATCACCGGTGACAAGGCTGGACACGGACCCCAAATTCATTCCATTCTTCACCCTGTTCTTGACTGGCTGACCTGTTTGTCTGGGCTCATGGATGGGAACAGAATGCCCATTAACCGCACTTGGTCCATCCTTCAGGCCCATAGATGACGACCCACCCTCAGCCTGAGACAGGCAGACCCAGGGTGATGCGTCCCCTGACGTCAGGTCACACTACTCACGCCTCCAAGTGCGGCTCTGCCTGCGCCAGCGCCTTCCCCCTCCCACCCGGTCCTCGTCCAGCCGGGGTCCCTCCCCCCATAAAGCAAGCCTGTCCCCGCCTGGCCTCAGAGACCCTGGCAGACCCCAAGGTCTCCCTCCTGCAGCCACGGCTCCCTCCCTGGCCGGCAGTGACCCCATCCAATATGATCTCTCCTAACTCAGGGTTTGTTTCTTTGACACACTTGTCCTCTCCTCCCAATTCTGTGTCTACAGAGTATCCAAGTGTCAAAATGCCAAGTGCCATCATCGTTGGTTACACCCAGTGCTGAAGATGCGAGGGGGGGTGCAAGATGCAGAGTTTTTAAGGGTAAAACTCAGTATCTCCATCTACTTGTGCCAAGTCCCTCCGGCCCCATGCCCAGTGAGCCCACCGCAAGCCCACTCTCCACCATCATTCACACAACCCTGAGACAACTGCCAGGCTTCCTGCCAACTTGCCCAGCTCCGGCCTCCATCCACGTCCCACCACCGCCTCCCGCGGCCCACAAGCCCCTAGGGAGCAGACTGCTACTCCTCCGTGTTTAGCGAGTGTTCTTTTGCAGGAACCCCTCTGGGAAGCGGAGGGCGACAGACCATCTCTCTGTGCATGCATGCGTACACACACTCCCCCCACCCCGCCCCAAATTTTCAACTTTTAAGGGATGTCCCTGCAGGCCCAAGCGAACCACCTGGCACAAGGTCAGGCAGGTGGTAAGTCCACAACAGATGTGGAAGGGGCTGGCCTCAGGGTGACCCAGTGGGAAACAGAGTCACGATGACACTCGGAGGACCACCCACAAACACGTCAATGACACTGGCAAAGGGCAAGAAGTGGATGGAAGCAGAGGGTCTACGGGACACCCTCCTGCCACGTCTATCCAATTCTGAATCCCCTCCCCCATTCCAAACCACCACGAATAAACAAACCTGTTTCTCCCCGCCGGCATCTCACGCCTGCTTCTCGCCGGCACACAAAGGTCCCCGTGTCCCAGAAGCGCCACGGGCAGCGCGCAGCAGGGGGCGTCCCTTCCGCGGCAGCTCCAGGCTAGTGGCCCACGAGCTGCCGCCACACCCTTCCCCGGGGCTTCCAGAGGCTCCGAGCCCACACCGCCCCCTGCCAAGTTTCTTTTCCTCCAGGACACTCCCAGCTACGGTCTGGACTCTGGGACCATGCCTCAGCAGATTTCAAACTCTACTTCCCGGACCTCAGACGAGTCCCCCGCCGCGCTCCCCTCCCCCGCGCCCACTGGAGGGCCTCCAGGGCCTGGCCTGGCTCTTCGATCGCGAGTGAGAATCCTGCCAAATGGGGACGCTCTGGAGCCACGCCCGCCACCCTTCCAGCTTGGGAACGAATCTCCTGCTGAAGCAGGGACACCTCCCGGACACCAGCATTTCCACCCAGCTGCACCAGCACTCCGCGAGAGTTCCAGACCCCTCTCATTGCTTGGTGGTCAGCAGGGGCCGTGATGGGAAAATGCTGCCCCCCACTCCGCACCTGTGTGACACATGGGCGACCACCCGGTGATCTGGCCACACATGACGTGCCCACAGGTGCAGAGTCAGGGCCGTCAGCGGGTCACGGCCGCCCCTCCCCCACTGCGGAAGAGAGTCGGTCACCTGCCTGTCTCCACCTCGAGCTGTGCGACTTTGACTTCTCTGACCGCAGTGACTTGTGCCAGGCTCCTCAAGAGGCCTGTAAGGGACTCTATGACACGTACTCGTATGACAACAAGAGACTCGATACTTCTATCTTTCCACAGCACTAACCAAGGAGGCCCTGAGAGCAAAGGTACAGGCTGTTCAGAGTAGGAGCACCAGGGGTAAAACTACAGAAAAGAAAGAGGTCACACAGGGCAACAAGGGACCGAGGCCAGGGAGGCCCATGGCTTGGCCACTGACCTCCAGGCTGGCCCCTCCTCCCCACTGCCCTGCACCCGGCCCCTCCCCAGCTTCTGGGCGCCTGCCCTCCTCCCCCACCACACACCTGATTTCACTCCTCTGCTGAAACCCTGTGGCCGAAACTGCGATTCTCAGGGAGGGAGGGAGGCTGATCAGACCAGGAGGTGCTCGTCATTTAAAGCACTTTCAACAATCATGGGTTGCTAACTTCTTTCAGACGGTTTTGATTTACAGGAATGCATGGACTTCTGTCCCTTGGCCTCCGGTAACTGAGAATTGCTGGCTTATGGTCACAGAAGGGCCTTCAGAAGGTGCCGCACTCACCCCGCCAACAGGGTCAGCTCAGCGCCTCCCCCAGCCTCACCCCTCCGGCCACAGCTGCTCGAGCCTCTCCAAGCAGGTGCGGTTCCCCAACCAGGACGCCCTCCTTACTGTCCATCCGGAGCCTCCTGCTCCAACCCAGCACTTCGCTCGCACCACGGAAGGGCCGCCCCCCAGACCTCGCGGGGTCCGCTCCGCCGTTCCCCCCATGGGGTAGGGGCTCCACTCAGCAGCTCAACCAATGGAAGTGGAATTCCCACATGACCTCGCAGGTGGGCAGAGCCCGGGCCAAGCGGGTGGGACTGTCCGTGCGGGCGCACTTCGCGCGGGGGGTGGGCGGGCCTGGGCACCCCGAGAGAGAACCAGGCAGAGGGCACAGTGCCCAAGGCCCCGGAAGGGCTAGAGCGCGGGCGACTGGAGCCCGGGGTACCGAGGGCAGCCGTGGGGGGCCCCGGAAGGGCAGCAGGAGCCAGCCGAAGCGGTTCGGGGTACAAGGACGCTAACAGGGGTCCCGGGCGCGGATGCGTGTCCCGGGATCCCGAGGCAAGGACGGGGGCCCCTTGGCCTCCGACGGGATCTCGGGACACTAACGGGAGTGCCGGGCGCAGACGAGGGGTCTCAGGCGAGCGGGGCGCGTACAGGGGGCCCTCGGGCTCGGAAGGGGGTCCCGGAGCGCGGAGAGGGTGCCGGGGGTCTCGGGCGAGCGGGGTGCGGAGGGGGAGGCGGGAAGCTGGCGGGCGGCGGCGACCTACCTCCTTGTCTGGGACCCACTGCGGCTCCTCCAGGCCGAAGGGGCTGCCAAAGGCGCGATGCTCGGGCACCATGCGCAGGCCGCTGGGGGAGCGCACCAGCTTCTTGGCATCGCGGCGCGCGGCCACTTCGGAGGACATGACGCCGCCTCGGCGCTCGCCAGCCGCCCGGACCCTGGTCCCGCCAGGAGCCCCGCCCTGCCCGCGTGGATGACAGGGGCCGCGTCCAATCGCCACGCCCGGCTCGGAGAGCGGGCCAATCGACGCCCGGGATCCGCCCCATCGCTGCGCTTTTCCCAATTCGCGCAAGGGCACCTCCCCGGCCACCCTGCGGTCGGTCACCAATCGGCAGTGAGGACGCGCTCAGGCACGCCCCGTCTCCTGGGGACGATTGAGACTTTGGATTGGTCAGTTAGTCTGCGACGTAGCGCTGCTTCCTCTCTGATTGGCAAATCCGGTGCGGGGCGCCCGGCTCTCATTGGAAAGGGAGGTTGCGAGGGGCGGGGCAGCGCGAGGCGGCGAACGGAGCGCGCGCGCGGTGAGAGTGGTGGGCCGCGGGGGCGCGGCGCGGGGTGGGCGCGCGGTGAGCTGGGCTCCGGCGGGGTCGCGGGTCGTCCGTACAGTCCACGCCCGCGGGCGGGAGGAGGGGACAGCCGGAGCCTAGGCCCTGGCGGGGTTCTGGCAGCTCGGGAGCCGGCGTGCGGAGGCCCGTCCTGGGGGTTGCCACCCGCAGAGACCCAAGCAGGCCGGCGGGTTGCAGGGCCAGTTAGGGTGACGGCGGCAGTCTGGGGACCGTGGGGTGAAAGGTGAACGAGGGCCGCACGAAGGTGGGGCGTTCCGAGGTGGGGGGCGTCCAGGTGGACCGCCGTGGAGATGGGGCGCGTCGCGGAAGAGAAGGTGCGCTGGGTCGTCACGTGGGTCTGCTGGACCTCCGGGTCTGCAGGAGTCGCTGGCGAGAATGGGGCAAGGCGGTGCAGGGCCTGGAAAGGGAAGGGGTCCCCAGAGAGGACAGGGTCCTGAGAAGGGCCGCGGACCCAGGAGGCCAGGCCGGCCGGGGCAAGGCCCCCCCAGGTCACCGGGAGAAGCTCCCCACCAGCGGCCCTGGGATGAACCAGCGCTCATCGCCCCCTCCGGGAGGGGAACCCGGCATAGATGGCCACCCTGGAGAGCGGGTGGGCTGCTCCCACCGGGACTAGACACACACTGCCCCCCACCCCCCGCCCCAGGCAGGCCAGCCTCTGGATAACCGAGTTTTGCATTGTGGACACTGAACCGTTCCTGCTGGATTTGTTAACAGGCGTGCGGGCCGCAGAGCGCGGGGCGGGACCTGGATCCCCTGCGGGCTGTATGGCCTGAGCTTGTCAGTAAGTGGCTGCGCGCGTCCCTCTCCCGGTCAGCAAGGCGGGCTGGTAGGCTTGCTCTCCTGAGGTCTGAGCGAGGCCGGATGTGGGAAGTGTGCTTAGAGCCGGCCTGAGAGCGCGCCGGTGTCCGGCACCCGGTGACTTCAGCGCAGGAGGACTGCGGCTGCACTGCCCTGCCTGAATTTAGCTCTGAGCTTGGCGAGAGGAGGCGGCCCTGCTCTGTGGGAGGTGAGGCCGGCCGCCCCTCCCCGGTTACAGAGTCCGCCCCGCCAGACGGCGTGTGGGTGGCCCTGTGTGGGGCTGCCCAACCTGCAGCTGAATGGGATTCCAGGAACTCCTCCTCACAAGGTCAGTAAAGCGGCTTGAAACTTGAGGCTTGCTGCCCAGAGTGAAGGTGGGCCAGTCCGTGCGGAGCTCCGAGCGTTCCGTGCGGCCTGGGTTAGCCGCCGGGGTCCGAGGGAGTGTCCTGAAGGCGGAGACAGTGAGTCCCCCTCCGGCCTTCACTCCGGCAGGAACTGCTTCAAAGCCACGATCCTAATGGTTCATGCAAACCGTGGGTTCTCTCCGGTAGCTCTTTGCCACTCACCCAGTGGCACGTGATGGTCACTGTCCCCCGTAAACAGTAACCGAAATGCTCCAGGAAGCTGCCCCGGTCTGCAGCTCTGCGTGGGCACCGGGCCCGGAGGATGGCTGGCTCAGGCCCGAGCCCTCAGGGAGGCGGGGGGACAGGGCGCCCACCTGGAGGCTGTCTGTCCAGCCCCCGGGCCAGTGTCTGGTTTACGGGGGCTCCACCCGTGGTCCCTCTGCTTCCCGATGCCCTGTTCCTCCACCACGTAAGCTTGAGGCGCTGCACTCACCTGGCTTGTTTTCCTGCCCTGTGTCGAGCTGCTCCTCAGGATCCAAGTTTTGTATCCGGGGAGTTCCCGGAGGCGGCAGCCCCCTGCCAGCCTCCCTGGCTCCACACACACAGCCTGGGCAGCCTCAGCCAGAACCTCTCCGGCCATCCGTCTTCATGACCGGACCCCAGCCCAGCCTGTTGGCTGCCTGTCGCATCAAGGCATGCCCCCGGGGCTTTCCACAGGTCCAGGGGAAGGACACACACACACACACTCTCTTTCTCCAGAATTTGAAAACCGCAAGCTTGGTATTTCGTCCAGGTGTTCTGCTGACCTGGAAGTGGTTTCGGGTGGTGCCTCCCTGCGTCACCTCTTCCCGTTCTTGTCTTCAGGGCTCCTGAAGCTGAGCTCCCTGCCAAGCCAGGAGGGTGCGCCGCAGCTCCTTTGACAACTTACTACTTTTCCTGCAGATGATATTCTCTTTCGTATTTGCTTTCTGTCTTCAGGGATCTAACCTCACACCTTCCATACACTCAGGGTACCTTTGGGAGCTGGGCACAGTCCCCATCGCCTCTCCCTGTGTGTGGCTGGCCCTGGGGCCCTGCGTTCAGGCGCCTCTTTCTAGCAGAGACCCAACCATCCTCCAGTTTGCGGTCCTGGTGGCCTCCGGGGGGCCAGGGTCTCTGCGTGTGTCCTCACCAGTGTCAGCAGCCCTGGCCTGGGAGCGCCTGCCACAGGCAGACGTGGGACCCGGAGGGTGAGCTCCTTCCTGCAGCGGCTGTCGCGATCCCGCGGTGCGGTCACACCTGGGCATCAGGCTCCGCAGCCACCCCAAACTGGTACTGTGAGTTCTGGGTGCCAGACCTGTTTCCCTGACCAGCCTGTGAATGGGATGGTGCGAGTGACCTGGTTCTCGAAGCGCCCAAATCAACCTGATGTTGTCCACATCATAACACTCGGAGCACTGCAAGGGCAGGTGACCTTCCCCTCGGCGGAGGCCTTGCTGGTGGACGTCGGCACGGGGTTCAGCGGGCCAGCGTGTGGCTGCGGGCCTTGGCGTTCCTGCACCCACCCTGGTGCACCCCCAGCCCTGCTGATCTGGGGGGCTTGCTTCTGCGTGGCCCTGGGCTGAGTGGGGCAGCCAGCAGGGGTGGGGTTGGGCTCCTGTCCCGCAGCATTTAGGGCTCAGGCCAGGGAAGGGCTGCTGGTCAGGGGACGGGTGCGGGCTGCAGGGCAAAGGTGGGACAGTCTCCACTGTCCTCCGCTGAAACAGCTTGGTAGTCGGGGAGGTTCCAACCCGCAGGCATCCTGCAAGATTCAAAACCCACTTTTCCCGTTCTTGCCAGATCCTCCACGGAGACACACGTAGGGGAGATGAAACTGGAGAATGCAGAAGACACTTCATTCCCGCGAGCCCAGTGCGTGTGATCTCCAGCTGTCTGCGTCAGCCTCACCAAAGAGGCGGGTGAGGCAGGGTGCTCATCTGGAAACCAGGTCCCCGGGCCAGGACTCGGGCCGGGGCACATGCTCATTGCTAACCCTTTCTGCAGGGGACGGAATGGGCCTGCCTTGTGTAGCGTGGGCCTTTAGAATGCAGGTGACCTGGGGGCACTTCTTCAAACACATCACTCTGTGGATTGGAATTCATGGTTTCTAAGTTACCGAATGGGGGCTCTAACAAAAGCATTGCCTTAGACTTACGTCAGTGGTTTTCCTGGTAAAGTCTCTCCTGCAACCTCGGGGCTGACGGTGAACCCCTGTCTCAAAGGGGACTGCATACCCAGGCCACCATCACTCTGCTGTGCTCGGCTCCTGGGCAGCTTGCAGTGACAGCAAGCACATTGGAATTTGTGTCCTGAGAAGTTATTCGTCTTTGTGGTCAACCTTTTGGAAGAAATGGATTTGGATCAATTGGACCTGAATCCCAGAATTATTGCTGCAGTTAAGAAAGGTATATTTATTGATGTTTGGATCGAGTAGATATGTGAAATGTATGGATGTACGTGTACACAATGCATGAAAAACAAGTTAACAGTATTGCCTGTCCAAGTCCTCCCCTTCCCCAAGACAACTGATCCTGATTAGAGACCCGTGCGGAATGTGTTGCAGGTTTTTCGGTTGTGTGTGTGTGTGTGTGTTTCACTGAGCACTTTTTTAAAGTTCATTTTATTTTCATCAAAGGTAATACATGTTTATTGTCTAAAAAGTGAAAGGGGACTACTTACACCACTTATGATTTTATCAACTTCTTTTGTATTTACATCTGGGTTTCTAAATAATGTGCTTATGTTGCTGTGTTCAATTTGTCAATATCAGGGATTACTCACAGAGTGGGTGTTACACTGATGAGGACTGGCTTGCTTGTGCCCCCACTTACTCCACTCCTCCCCCCACAGTTGGAACGCAGTTTGGGCCATTAGGGTTTTGACTGGGGACATGATGACTGCTGCTGAACTGGGAGGTTAAGATTGTTTTCTTTTCTTTTTTTTTTTTTTTTAAAGATTTTATTTATTTTTATTTGAGAGAGAGAGAATGAGAGAGAGGGAGTACATGAGAGGGGGGAGGGTCAGAGGGAGAAGCAGACTCCCTGCCGAGCAGGGAGCCCGATGCGGGACTCGATCCCGGGACTCCAGGATCATGACCTGAGCCGAAGGCAGTCGCTTAACCAACTGAGCCACCCAGGCACCCTAAGATTGTTTTCTTTCTTGTCCCATCTTTGTTATTTTTCCCCAATGTTGTTAGTTGCCTCTTTTTTTCCAATGCTGTGTTTTCTGTGTATGTCTCACTGACTTTCCCCACATTGTCTAGTATGTCCATCAAGTACCAGTGCCTCATTTTTAAATGCTCAAAGGGTTGAACAGCTCACCCATTCTGTTTGTTTCCTGGTGCATCCATCCCCAGCTATCCTGCACCAGCTGGCGTCCTGGGACTCCCTTCCATCTCCCCTGTCTCCTGGGGCATTTGATGGGGAAGCTTCAACATTAGGATGCTTATTGATCATATAACATGGAATCCTAAGTACACATGGGGGCTGGTGCAGCAACATGGTGATGTCCTACATGGGGGCAGAGTCTTGAGGTCCTGTTCCTTCATCCTTGGCTCTTGGTTTTTTTCAGAGCCCATCAGTCGTTTTGCTTTGTTTTCCCTTTCATTCAGCCTGTCCATCTGTTTTAACTGGAGCGTTCAGTGCATACATATTTAAGGGAATTCCTGATACATGTGGGGTTAAGTCTGCCTTATTATGCTGAGCTGTTTTTTGTATTTCTTTTTGTGGTGGTTTTCCATTTTTGGCTTCTGGATTGGTTGAATATATTTTTAGCAAATTTATTTTGTACTAGTTTGAAAGTAATGCATTTATCCAAGCCCAAAATTAATTTACCCACTCTCCTCCCCAAATACCAGACCTTTTGGACACATTAACTCTGTAACCCTCCCCACCTAGCTGTTGCCCACTGGCACTGTAACCCTCATGCATTTTTTGCTGTTTGTCCCCCGGCCATCCCGCCCTCCCCACCATGCCAGCAGTCTGGTACAGCGGACACTTGTTTGGAACCCAGCTCAGCTTTCCGTCCTGCACCCCTTCCCTCATGCATGGTCCTCAGCCTGCCCTGGAATCATCCTCTAGCCTTGCCTACGTGTAGGCCTGCCCGGCCACAGAAACCTCCTTTCTTGAGAGATGTTTCTGGGGTGCGGAACTGGGTTGCATCCACTGCTCTGGGCACCTGGGAGAGGACCCTCTCATCTCTGGCTCCTGCTACTGCAGCTGTGAGGTGGGGCTCCCCCAGGCCCCCTCCCTCCTCCTTGCTGTCATCACACTCTACCCACGGGCTCCCAGAGCCTCAGGGAGTGGATGGATCAGGCCCCTGCTGCCGGGTCCCCAGCATTAGAAGACAGCATTCCTGAAAACACCTGTTGTCATCGTCGTGTTGCCTTGTGTTACCGTAGTCTGAACTTGCCCTGTAATTTATTTGTATAATTTCAGCCAAACTGAAATCAGTGAAGGAGGTTTTGCATTTTTCTGGACCAGACTTGCAGAGACTGACCCGCCTCCCCAGCCTCGACGTGCAGCACTTGCTGAGAACGGCCTCCTCACACCTGCAGGGGAGCCGCGTCTGCACAGGTTCACACGGAGAGCATCAGGATGGGGACCTGTCAGGTGGCGGGGGGGGGGGGGCATGGGGGCCCTCGCTTCCGAGAGTCCGCTCTTGGGCCAAAAGAGATGGGACCGAGTCAAGGGGCGCGGGAAGCAGGGGTGAGTTGGCAGTCAGAGCCCGGAGCCCCCAGGTGCCCACAGAGCACTGCAGCGGCCGGGACTGCCTCCTCCCTGCCAGCTGGCACCTCGTCCAGCCACGTGACCGAGGTCACCTGTCCTTCCACCACGTGGTGCCTGACACCCCCCCCGGCATTCGCAGCGCTGCATCTGCACCAGCAGAAGCAGAGGTTCCCCGCGCAGCACCAGCGCCTGAGCCTGGGCTGCCCCGTGCTCGACGGGCTTCTCCGCGGCGGCCTGCCCCTGGACGGCCTCACCGAGCTGGCCGGCCCCAGCTCCGCCGGCAAGACCCAGCTGGCGCTGCAGCTCTGCCTGACCGTGCAGTTCCCGCGGCGGCACGGAGGCCTGGAGGCCGGTGAGTGGCTGCCCCGAGGCGGGGGCAGAGTTGGGGGGGTCCTGCCCAGGAGTTGGGGGGGCCGGCAGTGCCGGGGCCGCACTCCACGGAGGCTGCGCCAGACGTACCCACGGGATCCTCCCGGTTCCATCTTCCTCTTCACGTCTGCTGTCGATTCCGCCCCCCCGGGGGCAGGGTCCGAGGGCTGCCGCCTGCCCGCCTGTCCACCGTTGGAGCGGCCCGCCCACCTGCGCCTCCTCCCTGGTGACCCGCGGAGCCGCCTCCGGCGGAGCACAGGGTCCCCTCGAGGGCTGTGGGCCTGGCCCGAAGGTTCCTGCGACCTCGTCCACACACGCTCACACCACCAACCTGCACACACGCGCTCGTACACACGCTCACACCACCAGCCTCCACACACGCACTCGTACACACACACTCGCACCACCAGCCTGCACACACATGCTCGTACACACACGCTCACACCAGCCTGCACACACGCGCTCGTACACACACGCTCACACCAGCCTGCACACACGCGCTCGTACACACGCTCACACCACCAGCCTGCACACGTGCTCATACACACACGCTCACACCAGCCT